CTGCTGGGCTGTTCGGTGGCCTCTGCTGGGCTGTTCGGTGGCCTCTGCTGGGCTGTTCGATGGCCTCTGCTGGGCTGTTCGATGGCCTCTGCTGGGCTGTTCGGTGGCCTCTGCTGGGCTGTTCGGTGTTTTACGATATTCCTTGCACCAAGCTGATAACAAAATCTGTTTATATGTGGCTAAGGAGCCGAGAATATCTTGAAGATTTTCTCGAATCTATTAATGTGACATTTTCGTACTCTAACATCCAGTCAAGGAATTTTTGTTTTGGTCTTCCTGATCTTGTTTGCTGCTGTTGTGGTATGTTTTCTTTATCAGGCTGCACGCGAATATTGAAGCAATCATTTTTAATTTTGCACAATTGTGTTGTCAATTTGTATCTGGATTTCAGAAATTTAATTTTGTAGAAAGATTGAAAAATTTTTTAATCGAATTTTTGTAGTTTTGTATTTTTTCAATTGTAAACTATCTGCTGTAACAATGCGTGTTTGCAGCTCAGAACAATTCATACACGACATACCTGTTCTAATTTTAATGCCATGACTTAACTTTAAATTTGTTTACTTGTTAACTGACTTATAATAAATCGTTTATACGCTGCCTTGTGGTGCGCTAGCGATGAACAATATGAAGTTCTTGTTTACTTGAGCTGGAAAGGAAATGTAGTTACGCTTGTAATTAATTTGAATATTGTTGTATAGTTAGTGTAGAGAGGAGCATTGTATGTGCTCTTATAATCACATTGTGTCAGCCTTGTTCGCTGCAGGCCACGGCATTATTGTACATAAGATTAATGTGTATAACTTAGATGTGTTAATACCAATGAAACTTATTAAATTTACTTCCATATTTCCTAATGGTTTAATTTGATCTTGCTTGCAGCTCATTCTACAGGGTAAAGTATAGTATAGTATCTTCGGCATTGGAGAATAGGCCTGGATAGGCATGTCGCCTTTTTTTGTATTTTTCTTGACTAGACTGGCCTTTTGATTTATTTGGTTAAATATACATTTGTTAAGATACAAATTTGACCTAGACGATGAACTTCAGTTTATGATTCATAAGAATAGTGACTCCGTTGACAATGAGATGCTCAGCCTGCACAATGCAGACCAATTTTTAGTGTACACGATATTCTAACTACCAAAGCAGATAAAATGAAATTTATTTAATTTAAATTTTTAAATATAATAAACTTATAGATTAATAAATGTCTAAATATTCTATAAAATAAAATAGATAATTATAAGTTTCTCAAGATATAGTTGGTGAACATAAAGCGATGAATAGATCAAGTTCAACTGGGCGGCTGCAGCGAAGGCCTGGAGGAACTGAGGAAGGTTCAAGAAGAAGCAATGCCCACCAGGGGGCGCCGCCTAGCCGAAATCTCCTTTCAGAGCTATACACTCGGGCGTTCCCCCAGGGCTTGGTCATCTCGCCTGCCCTTTTTAACCATTTCATCTCCGACATCCCAGTGCCGTCCCCCAACATGGCCTCATACGCGGACGACCTTACCATCTTCGTGTCATCCCCGAGGCTCGACGCTGCGGAGGCTGAGCTCGATGTGCTCCTTCGCAGCGTCTCAGACTGGTCGGCTGTCAAGAAACTGGCTGTGGCTCCTGGCAAGTCCTCGGTCACGCTCTTCACCCCAGATACGCACCAATCCCGATACCACCCATCTGCCATCATCTGCAACGACATCATCCCACTGGACAAAACCCCCAAAATCCTAGGCGTCACCTGGGATACACACTTCACTTTCTCCCCTCATGCAAGAGTCGTAGCCGCGAAAGCGACGGGTTCTCTCCGCATCTTAAAAGCCCTTGCTGGCACCAACTGGGGCTTCTCCAAGGAGGACATAGTTGCCACCTACCGTACCATCACGCGCCCAATTCTCAACTACGCGGCCCCCATCTGGTACCCTGTTGCCTCCCGTTCAGGCTTCAGCAGTTGCCAGCCTGCAGATTATACAGAATACTGCATTGAGACTAGCCACCGGCTGCCTCAAAATGGCCCCGATCTCACATCTTCACCAGGAGACCGGCGTCCTCCCTTTGTCCGCGCACCTGGATCTTGCTTGTGCCCATTCCCCCCTCATGGGGGACTTCTGACGGGTGTCTGTGGTCGTCAGAAGTCCTATGGGATTTCGCGTTCCTAGGGGGATTGTTCCTGAGCGCCCCACCGTTGAGCTCGCGGTGTCTGACTGCAGGTCTCAGTTGTGGGGTTAAGTTATTATGTAGGTAGGATTCCTTACATTTCCCTTCTCTGTCTCTCTCGTGCGGGCGGCCGACGTCCCGTGTAAGCGACCTCTTGTTCGAGTGTCTTCGTTTCTGTTGCTTTTTGTTTCTTTGAGATGCTAACGCTGCTTCTTTCGAGCCAGCTTCAGCGGGCTGGACATCTGAGACCTTCCGCCCCTTGTGGGTGATGAATAATTGAGACCTTCCACCTCTATGGTGATGTTCATCTTGACTTTCGGTGCGAGATAGCTAAATAGCTGAAGCGCTAGTAAACATTTGGCCACTAAACTAACTAACTAACTCGCTTGTGCCCAGTTCCTCGCCAGCGCCCTCCAGCCCTCCCATACCTCATTCCGCATTGTTTCTGCTCCACTCGGGGACCGCCCCATGAAAGCCTCAATCCAGTCGAGATTCAGCCACCTGGTCACACCATTCTTGGCTAATGGTATCTTGCCCGACGGTGCCTATGGAGAGGCCAAGCGGTCCCTCCGCAAGGAGATCGCCTCCCGCGCTGCGGCGACTGACGCCATAAACGCCGTCCTCGCTGCTCCGCCACCGCCGATTGCATCGGTGGATGCCACACTCTCCCGCCCTTACCGTTCGGCGCTATCACAGCTCCGCTCGGGATACTGCAGCTCCCTTGCGTCCAACTCCGCTAGGATCGGACGCTCCCCTATCGCCGCCTGCCTGGAGTGCAGGGATCTCCTCCAGTCGGTCCAGCACCTCTTCGCCTGCCCCGCCTTCCCCACATCCCTCAGCGTTTCCTCACTGTGGGACAGCCCCGTGAAGGCAGCGGCATTCCTGGCCACCCTCCCTGCCTTCGCCCATCTTCCCCTCTTCCGATGTCTTTCCCCCTACCACCTCCTGAGCCTCCCCCCGGCGAGCGTGAATCTGGTTGCAACTAACAACAACATGAACCTAGCCGAGAAAAACGGCTGCGTGGCAAGTATGAGTTTTGTGTCCGTGTTTTGGCCCCCCGGGAGCAACAAGTCGTCTAGGAGGGGTCCATCCCCCTCGAAAAAATCGGAACATCGGAGGTTTGCTGGAGTAGAAGTCCCTCCTCAATTCCTACTCCACTGTCCTCAGCACCCTGCGCAGTTCTGCTGTCTCCTCCTACCTGTCTTTAGCAGCTCCTAACAAGGTGCTGCTGACCCCTGCCCCCACTGTCTCATCCAGCGAGCTATCCCTCCCCAGGGTGGCCAGGGCCTTTACTTTAAATAAGTTAAGATATCGTATGTTCATCAGCCAATCATTGACGGCCTTTGAAGCAAAATCCACCAATCATAGACAAGAAAATAGAGCATAAGTACCTCAGTAGTAGTAGTACTTAGTAGTAGTACCTTAGCGAATTTTGAAAGTATGGCGGCCAGAAGCGCCCTTTCTCAGCACCTCTCTGGCTACTCACCGCGACGCAACTCGTACCTTGCCCGCATTGGTGCAGCAAATAGGCGACAATCCATAGTGGCCTGGGACTGCTACGTCCGAAACAAATACTAAAGTTACTAAGGAAGCGAATAGCCCTCTCTGCCTTGAGTGCGGCGTGATGGATCACACCACCCATCACCTCTTCAGCTACCCATCGAACCCCACGTAGCTTACCCTACTGGACCTCTGGTCTAATCCTGGACCGACTGCGGCTTTCCTCTCATCGCTCTCATCCTTCTCCGACATCCTTGGAGCGGATCCTCCGCGTCCTTCCACCTCCTCCGGAGCCGCGGACTTTACTGGGGCGCCGCCCAGCAGTGGACCCAGGCAACTAACAACAGTCAACAACAATAGATCAAGTTGGTCCCAGGTTGGGTTAATAAAAGGCGTTGACTTTAAAAAGAACTTTATTGCTAGAATCTGATGGAGAAAGTTGTAGGTTGAGTCTGTAGATCGCAAGTTATTGCAAATATTCTCTAGAAAATTCGTGAGAATCGATTTAATGCTCTAGAGAATTGACTTAATGCTCTAGAAAATTGAATTGAGAAGAAGATGCCGCCGAGAATGTGAGCAAAAATGGCGTAAGTTTGTGATAAGTGAACTTTAATTGTAAGAAACTACTAAGAAATTGACGCTTCATTTAACTTGCATTTATCTATAATTCAGCATTTTTCCGATCATTTATGAACTCGACTGATTTACTCGCCGTTAATAATGAGGAACTCGTCAAGTTTTAATGGCGTCAGCGAACTCGAGGCTTCTTGGCCATGACTTCCATGAGGAAAACTCCGTATAAATTTGCTTGAAGTATTGCTTCTTGTTAATTAGAACTAATAGCTTATTATCTAATTAAATTGGTCGGTACCCAAATAAAGTGGGCATTTCTTAACTACGCTGCGACTACAGCTAGTTTGCGTTAGTTACACAAGGGAAGTGCTAGTTGAGAAGAGAGACAAAGCTAGGCGGAACTATATATGCACTCTTGTATCGGATATCGTGTATAGTTACTATTTTCATCAGGCTAATTAAGTACTAGTAAACTCATTACCTACGGTAGGAATAAGTTAACTGACTTATTGCCATTTATTTCTCACTTCCTAGCCCCAATCGGGTTTTCAGATGATTTTTGAAGTTCTACAAAATAAAATCCAAAAATTATTATTCTTTTTTTCTCACAAAGTTCTGGCCGCACAAGCACACAAAAAAACGATGAAGTTCCCTGTTCTTCGTGAAAACAATCCGAATACAGTTAGACGTTAAATCGTTTAATTTGCTGAGTCGGTAAATTATAAGTCAGAAATTGCCTGATGTCTTTTCTTGCAAGGCCACAATGCGTTTTTCACATTTCATTAATATTGCCGCCCCATTCATGCGAGAACTTCCTCTGCCTTGCACGCAAACAAAAGACTCACGCCAGGCTTGAAGTATAAAACGCGTGTAAAGTTTAGAATGCAAATCATAATAAGGCAATAAAATTAATAGACTGATCGCGTGTGTGCAACATGCTGGCTGCTGTGCGTGCTTCGTAGAGGGAACAAAAGTGTGCGCAGAACCGAGGAGTGGGCGGTAAAATGAAAACAAAAACGAATTAATAAACGTGGAAAAATCTATATTTGTTTTAATGAGGTTCAGACAGAAATAAATAACGTACGATGTCAGAGCACAGGACAGACAGAGCGACATGCGTCACTATACATTATCGCAACATTTACACAAAAATAACCCATCAGTAAACACGGAGAACACAAGACTGTACAAATTGTAAACATGAAACGAGAACAATATTTATGATGCATGAAATATGATATTTACTAAATAAATCAAGAGAACGGAAACTGATGATAAATTTAATGGCATATTGATGCAGTATGTAATTCCTCTTCAGTGCATTTTTACAACTATTTGGACAATGGAGCTTTAAGGTTGCAGGTAAGTTATTTTAATTATTAAAAAAATATTTAATTGAAGTATTTTTCTGAGCATGGATGGTTGTTAGCAACGGACGGCAAGCTTAGCGTATTTCACTTACGCAAACATGCAATATGTTTTATGAGACAATAACATGTTTAAACGCTTGTTTACTAACATTTCACATACAAAAACACGAGAATCGTCATTGGAATAAATGTTTACCTAAGCAGGAGAACAATAAGTTCATATATGAGCAACGAGGTCACTACGCATCCTTATTAATCTCTCCGGGCGGCAAATCTAAAATCTCAAGTCTACACAGCGGCTATAAGTATTAAAAATAACGTTAACACTTTATATTATATAATCATTGAATTTCAGGCTGCTTCCCCTCTTACCGAGTATCGATTACAAAACATAATCACCGATAGTAACGAAAAAGAACTTTTCTCTGTAAAACTTTCGAGTTAGGAAATACCGGACGTAAATATGTTCTCGACTTACGGTGCACTAGTGAATCAGTTTGCACTTTTTCTCATTTTCTGAATAAATTTCCTATTCATGTTTGGCAAAGTTCATTTTCAACTACCCTAAAACAGAAGCGGCCGGTAAATTGGTTCACATCTAGACCATTAATATCCAGAATTCAACACTCACAATATTCAGAATAAAAATTAAATCTATTTACGAAGCTACGTAGTAAATCATAGATATAATAGAAAGAGAATACAGTTCGGGCGTACACATCTATGTATATAGAGATCAGGTTGCGTACACGCTATATATACTCATATATATTGAACACGCTTCATGATGAATAAAAGTGCCTTGAATTATAGAGGCATTTAAAAGATGCATTTTAGAGAGGGATTTTAGGGGCATTTTAGAGAGGGATTTTAGAGATGCACTTTAGAGAGGTATTTTAGAGGCATTTTAGAGAGGGATTTTAGAGTGGCATTTCAGAGAGGGATCAGAAAGATTTAAGAGGAACGCTTATTACAAAATGTATGAACAAAAAGACTGCGCTTGTATTAGAAGAAACTAATGATTAACTAATTCGCTACTAGCGTAGTTCATGGCAGAAGGCTTACGGTTGGAAAGTTATTTATCAAAGGTCTTGTTAGTTATACAATTAGTGTTTTTGCTATAACAATACTAAGAATTATAGAAATGATGACCATACATGTCTCCGCTAGTTATTAGGTCTGAATAACGACCTAATAAATAATAACGAAATACCATCGAATAACGAAATACCATCTGAATAACGACCTTCGAAACACCATCGAAAGTTATTCCGTAAGTAAGAATATTTGGCAGGAAATTAACTTGAAGGAAGTTGGAAAACAAAGGATATTGATGGAAGGAGCTGAAAAAATTTTGGTCTTAGCTTATAAATCCTTGCGGACATTCAGAGACATACGATTTTGTCAATTTTTACATTGTTTTTTATTACTCGCGACGTTACATGAAGATAAAAATCTTTGAAAATCCTTCGCGCGCTCGAAAACAATTGAACAAAATATATAAGTATTGAATGAATATATAAATTAATTAGAGGATACGTTTTAGATAAATAAATAATTTTTCATAAATCACGCAGACAATCGGTCGTAAATCATGCAACTTTCCCTAATTAGGAAAAATTTGCATATATAAAAGTTTGAGCCTGGAAACTGGCCAACAAATTAGAGATATAAACAAATTCTGTACTCGATCAGCTACCAAAAGAGGCACCAGTTGAAAACACATGAACATGGCTTTGAATCTTCTATTTCCATATGATATGATGATCAAGCGATGTAATAATCACTAATTAATTTTAGAAGATGGAAGTTTTATTTAAATTATTATTTTAAGTTTCTATTTTTGCACAAGTCAAGATAAAAAATAATATATATTGGCATCATGAAATATAGAAAGATTTACTGAACAATTCAATATAATTTCAGTTTTTTAGATGGTCAAACAACGTGAATGTAATATTGTTGTTGGTATCAAGAACCTGGTGCTTATGGCGCGTGCAAGCAATTCAACCGCAAGCGGCTTTAAGCAAAATATAATAAAAAACTGATAATATTGGCAAAATGACCAAATACTCACAGATGGAAATGAAACTTTAAAAATTAGTTACTGAAAAACATTCAGGGTCTCGAGGGAAATGTTTTAAATTTGCTAATGACCAAGAGAACAGCAGATAAACTAATCAAACATATCACAAATTTTCCTTAGCAAAATATGATTCCACACATATTCACAATCATGTTTGTATCATGTTCTCCAATTCTAAAGCAGATGAGGGAAAATATATAACTCAGTACTCACTGCAGTGAGTGACAGAGAGCGCATTTTCTCGTCGACGAAAACGTGAAGTCACTTACGGACAGACGGACATGGCGAGCACAATAGCGCATTTTTTCCATAAATGAGGAAATGCGCTAAAAAGATACGAATCTTGGCCAGCATAGAGCTGACGGTTGGCCGGCTGAGATTCCACCATACTTTACAACAGAATTACGACCTGAAACGTATAGTCTGTCTCCTCTGTATACATGATTGAAGTAGAGAAACGCGTTCATTAAATTACTTAAATCTATTGATACGAATGCATGATACCTTATAGGTAACAAGGCCGTCATATCTGCGGCCGACGATACACCGTCGATAAATTAGCGACGGTTTTCGATCGGGTTATCGAACTAGATTAAGTAGAGGCAGGAATTATTATTTACAATTAATAATTAGAAAATGAGAAACCAGAGGACGTTTGGCTCGATTATTTGGACCCACGAGGAGCGATGACTCGATCTTAATTCGTTCATTAAATTACATAATCAAAATTAATTAACTAATAGAAATGTTTGGCAATCAATTTACAAAGTATCAATATTATTATCAATCAATGAACTGGTCAATTAAGAACTTAATTGGTAGTTAATGCACAAAATGAATTGATTCATTTCGTAATCCATAAACAAGAAATAAATCCATCATTTATCGCGTGAAGCGATCAATCAATTTCCACAAGTAAATGAATAAAGCATTTATCGATGACCAGGTAAAGGATTGAGTCGCTTAAAACTACCAAGATAAGACGGCGCTAATAAAGACAATCTCAGGTTAAGATTCAGCACAGTGAAAATTTACAGACGCGGCAGCTTCTGATATGGATTACCAGAAGCTGGGGCGACTCTAAATTTTGTTAAGGTTCACACGTCGTCCGTATTCCGCACTGCCAAAATCGTGGATAATTGAACACTAGTTTAATCAACGACACGCAAAGAAGAAATAGCAAATAAATAATGAGAGACTACAGAATCAGACTACTTCACTGTTAATTATGTACAATCGAATAAAAACACGCAACAATCATGAAATAATTAATCCGAAGTTAAAATTATAATCAAGTAGGTATCATTATTATTCTAATTTATATTATTATATCATCATTATAATTACATAATAAGAAGATAACTAGAAAAATTAAATCTCTTTTTGGTGCTGGTTTTGGGTGCGTTGCGCAAGAGGCTCACGTCGGCAGAATAAACTGCCTAAAAATTAACTTAAATTACAATTGTAATACATAAAAAACTGGGCGCCGTGAGGGGCAATTGTTTCTGCACATGACAAGCAATTGCTAAGAGGTTGGAATTTAGTGAGGTATGAACTATGATAGGAATGAGTTCAGTCGAGACAAAAACACGAGGCAATGTCAGTCTATCGGCAGCGAGTCTACTGAGTGACTCTGGTCGAGCAATGATGATATCAACAACGATATCAACGATGATGGTATCGATAAGTCAGGCTAACACGATAGTCTCGTAGCGATGGACATTACACGCATCTCACAATTACGTCATGGCCAGAAAATAGTCTCTAATGGATTAAAAATTCTTCGCCCAGAAAAAAAAATCTTCTTAACAGACATGAAATAAATCGTGAGAATCACTCAACACGTGCCTCAACGGACGTGCCTTAACACGTGCCTCAACACGTGCCTCAACGGACGTCCAGTAAACTGGAGACGTCGGCCGTGGTCCGGACGTCGGCGGTCCCGACGGGCGCGGCCGTGATGGTGGCGCGAATTTCCCGACTTTCATTAGCATTTCCATCCCCCGCGGAGGACATTCCATCCTCTCGATGAGTGTTCAACGCGATGGGCGTTAGCGTTACGTCGGCCACCGGGGAACTTTGAGCAACGTCGACTGGGGATCTCGGTGTTAGATGAGACGTTGGGACAAGTGTTATGTTCGGAGATATATCGGGCGTTAGAGTTACAGGTGTTGAGTGGTTGATAGAAATGTTCGTGGGTGTCATGGTGACGGTAGAGTTGGATAAGGTTAAGTTCGAGGTGAGGATAAGGTTTGAGCTGCACAGGGGAATGGATTGCGTTACGATGGCTGTGGTTGTACAGAGTGTGGATGAGGCTGTGGGTGTGGTGGGGGGAGTGGAGTGTGTGCGGGAGTGTTCGAGGGTGACGTGTGTTTTGAGCTCGTCCAGGGTGTGTAGTCGTCGCAGACACAGCAGGCAGTTCAGCTGTAAAACAAAATTTTAATGAGATCACTACACATCAATGCCACACATCACTACACATCAATGCCACAGATCACTACACATCAATGCCACAGATCACTACACATCAATGCCACAGATCACTACACATCAATGCCACACATCACTACACATCAATGCCACAGATCACTACACATCAATGGCACACATCACTACACATCAATGCCACACATCACTATAATGCCACAGATCACTACACCTCAATGGCACACATCACTACACATCAATGCCACACATCACTACACATCAATGCCACAGATCACTACACCTCAATGGCACACATCACTACACATCAATGCCACACATCACTACACATCAATGCCACACATCACTACACATCAATGCCACAGATCACTACACATCAATGCCACACATCACTACACATCAATGCCACACATCACTACACATAAATGGCACAGATCACTACACCTCAATGGCACGCATGCCAGACAAAGCGAACAGGTTATATAAATATAGCAAATAAATGAACAAAAGAGCGTCAAGCAAACGTTTCCCAGGACATAAACAGGGATATGGAAAGTTAAGTGTAGCTAATACAATATGAATATAAAAAGCACTGTCCTTAAATGTAACTGAGAAATAAGAAACTACCAGATATACGTACCTAGTTCTTTATTGTATCAGATGCTTATAGTAAAATGACCTTTGTGATAATTTCGGTTTGATATACTCAAAAAGAATGTCGTATTGTTTTTAATTTCATTCTTACAAACAATCGTATTTACTTCAGTTCAATAATGTCCTCGAAGTGGTGCTCAAAATGAGGTACATATTGTCTATAGCTTAATAATTCAATGACTGCCGTAATGTACTAGATGTAATGCTAAATAAAAATGTATCGTGTTGTCTTCAATTCCCCATGCAGGAATGTCGTAATATCTTCCAAGTTATCTTAAAAGAATATCGTATATTTATAAATTTAACACGCAAAACCAAAATGAGCTTCGCTATAGGCTGCAGATCTGCTGTCTAAAGTGGAATAGTTCTTATCAGTCCAAGTGATATGCAATTAGTGATAAGCGATGACGCGTGTATATCACTGATGATCCCGTGTAGTGTCATATGTCAATTTAATTTTCTGCAATTTTTACCCACAACTCAGTTGTTCAACATCGAAGTTTCCAGACTCAACGTCCGCATCAACAAACTGTGTTATCGTGAATCACAAGCAAAATTATACAGAGTAACTTAGCAATTCCTTCATCATTTACTCAATATATACAAGATGAGAGTCGAGTTTTTAAACTCTAGTTTATATATAGCAAGCACAAAAAAAGCAGCTTTGGAGAGATGAACTTTTATTATTATTTGGTGTTCTCTTAATAATATTGAAGGCTGGATTAAATAAGCTAATTACGAAACGAATTAATACTCATCCTTAATATCATGACGTTAAAAAAAATTCCAAAAAGCCACAATAAATTGTAAAAATTTTATAATAAGTTCATTAGCAGGAATTTTTTGAATTAAGAAGACAGTTATTTGCCCATTAATCAATACTGTGACGTGGATGCCCAGTGAACCTTCGTTACGAGCGAGAAAAACAAGAAACCTAAGCGTGACTCAGCCTTTACACATGGGCCATGTCAGAACGAACTGAGAACGATGTGACACTGATATGAGCTACTGATAACACTGACACATCAAGATACGGATTGAACAACTCACGGTATCTGCGTGGGTGGACAGTGAAGCAGCATCGTCTCGTTGCATCAGGGAACTGATATCAGGGATGACGACATCGCGGAAAATTTCAGGGTGTCTCTCGGAGACATGGGAGATGGCATCATGTCGGCTGGCGGGTAGTGCTTCGCCGCAGACGAAACACTGGAATGTATACGCAGAGATGCTATCTCTAGCAGGAGACACAGACTCCCGAGAAGAAGAGGAATCTGATGGCAGTAAGAGCGGGGCGTCGTCGTACTTGGCATAGCCGTCTTTGGGAGGTGAACGATTGTGCTTAATCATCTCATGCTTCCTGAGCGACTCGTTGCTTGAGAAAGCCGTGTTGGGGCATCTAGCGCATCGGTACGGACGGTAACCTGTGTGAGCTTGCACGGAATCTGGGTGTTTACGCAGCAAATGACGGTCACAGTTGGATTTGGTCGTGAAAGGATAATTGCAGACGTCGCAGAGGTAAGGTTTTTGTCCCGTGTGCGTTCGGATGTGGCGCACCAGAGAGCTAGACCATGGAAACTTTCTATCGCAATACGGACACTTTTGTTTCTGAGGCGCAGAGGAATATGCGCTGCTTTTCTTGCAGTCAGGACTAGCAATGCCGCTGCTGTCGTCATCTTCATCGCCTGTTTGTGGCTCTTCTTCTTCCCTTTCCTCATCTCGTAGGAACGTAAAGTTCTGCGTGTTGGCTTTAGAGAGAAGTGTCGTAACGCTGGCGAGATCTGCTGTAGATTCGTCTCGGGATGGTCCTTGTTGAGTTAAATTTTCATTTTCGTCTTCCTCGTCTTCATCTTCTTCGTCTTCATCGCAGTCATTGTCAACATCGTCGTCTATTATTAAGTTGCTTTCTTCTTCCTCGCCCCGGTTGGGTTTCGAGTCGACATCCAAGATGATTGAATCATCTTCGCTGCCAATTTCAGTTTGGTGACTCGAGCTCATATCGTACGGATTTGAATTTCCATCCTCGCGCGATACTCCATATACAGAATTTCTGGACTTCTGTGGCCAGTTACCAGGATGCTGTTGTTTCATGTGCCGTTCCATGTTGGATCGCAGGGTGAAACCTTTATCGCATAAATCGCAGCGCCATGGTCTCTCGGTTCTGTAGCGTCGTTGCTTGGGTTTTTTAACCAATACGGAGTTCCTCATGGTGAAGTGCTGCACTTCATCATCATCGGTGCTTAGTCCCACCCGCTCTTTTTCAGCTCTCGCCTCATTCTCAGAGGAGGGCGTTTTTTCCAAGACGGGAGTACGGTGCACTTCTTGCTGTCGAGCAGCTTGAGCGGCAATCACTTGTAGCCAAGAAGGATTGGATAGAAAGCTTCCGTTAGCAGGAGACATCAGACTTGGACCAGAAGGTAGTTGGAGGTTCCCGTGTCTTATACTTTCATGAAGTTGCAACAGCGACCTTCCCAGATTAGAGGCAACAGGAGAAATTTCATTAAATTGTGGCATGCAAAATGGATATTGCTGTAAAACCATGGGAAGATTTCCAGACATAATTGATTGCAAAGGATGCTTAGGGACTTTGAGGATATCCGCTGTAGAATGAGATTTGTATTCACAATGATTTGAATCTGCATCATCCGTATTGTCCGCCCTGTCTTCTGATGGTAGAGAAGATGAAGAAAGAATTTCATTTTCTGGTCGGGTGCTAGGGACCTTTTTGTTCATGCTCAAGTCTAAAGGCGCATCGTCTGATATTATAGGGTCAGAAGCAAACTGATGTCTAAGAGATATTAGAGGAGGTATGAGAGGTTCAGTTGAGGAGACGATGCTAGGCATAGTTGGTGGTAGAACCGAAGGGATAGTTTGTAGGTGTGACACCGTTGGTGTAATAGTCACATGGTCTGGTTGAGGTTGCAAACGAGCGGGAGCAAGTGAGATGGGTATCTTGGAAATGGTTAACAAAGATTCCACAGAAGAGAGATCATTGGAACGTTCGCTAAGACCGCGTCTCTCGATGAAACTGGTGAGCGTGCCAGATGACACGGCTTCTGGATGAGCTTGAACGACATGACGAACGCCATCGGTTTGATTCACGAAAGAACAGCGGCAAATTCGGCAAGAATAAGGCTTATCGATTCCGTCAGGGTGGGATGACCTCACATGGTCTCTTAACACAGAGCGACTTTTGCAGTCGATGTTGCAAATTTGGCAAACGGCCTCCACCGAACGTTCGAACGTCTCCATGCTGTCTTCTTGAGCGTTGTACGACATACATTCTTTTATTTCATCCCTGGTTTGCTTGCTGTGAATATTCTTGATGTGTCGTTCACAGTTAGCTTTGGTTGTGAAGGCTAAGCCACAGAGCCGACACTCGTACGGCGTATCTCCCTTGTGGCCTTTCATGTGCTCTTTCAGAGCATTCTTATCGTTTGAAAAAAAGTTGCACAAATTGCAACGGTAAGGCGGGTTGTTCATGTGCACCAAATTATGAGACTTGAGCTTGCGGAGGTTAGAAAAAACTTCTTTGCACAAACGGCAAGGATACTGACCGTTGAGTTTCATGTCTCTATAATCTCTGGCGAATTGTTCATCGTGACTTAGATCGGAGTGAGGGAGGAGACTCGGAGGAGGGATGTTGGTTAAACTAAAATCTCGGGCTGTTGAATGGAAGGGTAGAGCGGGATGAGGGTCGCGATTTGGCAAAGATGCGAAAGAGGAAGGCGGGGGTGCGTGTTCCCTCATATGCAAAATCCACTCTTGCACGGACGAGAGACGTTCATGACATATTTCGCAAGGTCTCTCCTCCACTGGATGTTCAGGACTAATCCGCCTGAAATCCACCTCAAGCTCCCTCGGACCGGGACTTGCTGGCACGTCGATATCGTCGTTATCGGATTCACAGAGCTTTGGTAGTTTAGTTTGTGGGCCTTCGTTCATCTCAACTCGTCTCTTCCGACACGAGTTGGTCCCGTTATCAGAGCCTCCATCACTATCACCCGTATCTGATCCACCTCCGGAACGGTAATGACCTCGGATATGTCGATGCATGTTTCCGTTCGTCGTAAAGTGGGTACCACAAATATAGCAGCGGAAAGGCCGTTCTCCGGAATGAACCAGCAAGTGTCTGTCCAAGGAACTATTGCTGCTCAATTGCTTGCCGCAAATTCCACACTCGAACATGCGACTGCCGTCCGATAGGTCGATGACTCGATTGTGCGATCTGATGTGTCGGGTGAAATCTTGTTGCGATGGAAAAGATCTACGACAGACGCTGCATGCTAGGCCTCCTTCACCGCATTCCTGTCCACGCAAAAAAACATCATCGATTAGAACTCGTGCTCGAAATAGATGAGAATATGAGAAATCCTCTAAGATTATTCAAAGCCAACATTATTTGTAAATACAAATCAAAAATATATGTGATTAAAATGTTCTCATAAATATTCTGTCATCCTCACATAGTATTTTCATTGGAGAAAATTGCGTTTAGTATTCGTAGGTATAATTCACTAGAATCCGATGAGTCAGCTCTTAATTCCGTCTTATATTCATCACTTTACGCACAATCAATGACCGATAAGATACAAGACAGCGTGACGGCAAACGTATACCAGCCCACGCAGCTATATTCGCTGAAAAAATTCTTAATGTAATCCGAGAGGATAGCAATTCTACGCCGAGATTTATTGCTGCAATCCATGAGGTAAAGGTGTGCGTGATTTACGAGGAAGCAAGCATCGAGTGATAAGAGATGATGTGTGTTACAGCTCCGTAATCATCGGATTAACCTGCGAGATAACATCGAATGTGAAGCATTCTATTGCATGGCTACATGTAACCCATGGACAAGTGAACGATGGACCACAGAGTGTTATATAGTTCGTACTGAACGAGATAACTTTTAGGTAAAATCGATAGCAGGAAATAAGCGACGGTTTTTAGCGCATTTTCTCATTTCAGGAAAAAAGGCGCTATTGTGCTCGTCATGTCCGTCTGTCCGTCCATGACTTCACGTTTTCGTCAACGTGAAAATGCGCTCTCTAGCTGTCACTCACTGCAGTGAGTACTGAGTTATATTTTTTTAATGTTGCAGCAAATTGCAATCGCGCGGCCGCTCTTGCCATGTTCAGTTTATTGTTCCTTCTACAGTCGCTTAATACGAATAATTTCACGTGTTAATTTATTTTATTCGATTGCGAGCTGTAAATTTATTATAAAGCGTATGGAAGATTTGTACCAATTTGTCATGTGGAGAGCATTTCAAATAATAAACAATTTGAATCTTCTCAACAGAGGATAAAGTCGTTTAAATAGCAACAAATCGTGACGGCTGCAGACATAGAGCATTGATATTACTATTAGTAATATAAATATGTTAATAATATTGGCATTTATAAAAATTAACATACATTATTATTAGTATATGCCAGAGCATTTCTATTACTTCGATAGTGGAAGAATATATTAAAGATTTAATTTGATGGCGTCCAGGAAAATCGCGTAAGTCAAACGAAGAATTGAAGTGAATTAAGGATGCGGTACAGGAAATATATGGACTATGCAACGTCGTTTAGATGTTTGGTTCGTTCCTTTCAATCTCACTGACTTCTTAAAATTTTTAATATAAATTGTTTTGATAATTTAGAGCCGAAACATTTTTCCACTTGAATGTTTCCACAGCATAAACATGTCCCTAAGCAATATAATACACATTGTTGAGTATGGGCTCAGCTTTCGATAGAACTTGCGAGACACATATTGAGTGAAGAAATCATGAAAATATTCATTAGACCAATAACTGTTGAATTCAGCGTTGAAAGCTAATATGATATACGGATGAGTAAACAATGCCAATGATTGTGATTATAGGATGAATAATAGGATTAAAGGATGAATAATCGGATTAAAGGATGGATAATCGGATTAAAGGATGGATAATCGAATTAAAGGATGAATAATCGGATTAAAGGATGAATAATAGGATTAAAGGATGAATAATAGGATTAAAGGATGGATAATCGGATTAAAGGATGAATAATAGGATTAAAGGATGAATAGTAGGATTAAAGGATGAATAGTAGGATTAAAGGATGAATAGTAGGATTAAAGGATGAATAGTAGGATTAAAGGATGAATAGTAGGATTAAAGGATGAATAGTAGGATTAAAGGATGAATAGTAGGATTAAAGGATGAATAGTAGGATTAAAGGATGAATAGTAGGATTAAAGGATGAATAGTAGGATTAAAGGATGAATAGTAGGATTAAAGGATGAATAATATAGGAGAGCATGAAGGGCTGAACTGACCAAAGATGTGCACATGGCGGCAGCGCTAGGCAGAAGAGAAGGGCACACATCACTTGCAGACGACAGCGGTAACATCATTTCTTGAACACCACAAATAAAAATATGCTTCCTCGCAATAAGGAAACAAATACAGTATATTTGATTTTTGTACGAATTAGGATATTGAAAATAAATTTGAAGACGATTGCAACAACTCCAGTTCGGCGGCGAACATATATGATGTCTTGGCTATAACATCGAACTCGCTCATAACTAGGATTATATATTTCTTTGTACCAAATCAAATTTATGGGAACTAAGAGCTTGAATTGAAGATTCCAATTGGTACATTATTAAATTATGATCAACTGTTTCAGCGCAAACAAGATCCAAGTACAAACTTCAAATTTATGTGAACTATCGAGCTTGAATCTAAGATTCCAATCGTCACACTATTAAATTATGACAAATTGTTTCAGCTTAAACAAGATTCAAGTCCAAACTTCGATAGCCCTGTAATGGTGACAAAGTTAAAGGGTTCCTCACTTGCAACACACCACGGTCACGGCACTCAGGGAGCCAAGCAGCCGTTCTACTCGACTGCGCTGGCACTACTGCACTGCCAGATAACTCAAGACACTCGCTACTCACCTCATCATCTTCAAGTCCATCGTGGCCCTCCGCTGTTGCAGGTTGTCCGCAATTTAGAGCAACAACGTCCGCCCACTCGTCGCTGCCTTCGTCGCCATTGGGAGGTTCATCACAGGAGTGCCTGGGGCAGACGAGTTTAGTTGCAGCAGACGACGAGGGGTCGACGCAGGCGGAGCGAGGAGAGAAGGCGGAGTTCGCAACTTTTGGGGATGCGGTGGATAGGGCGGAGGGGGCTGTATGCACCGAGTCGGGGGTGGGGGGACCAGTGGGGGATGTAGGGGATGATGAGGGGCTTAACGAGGTGCTGGGATACACGGGGGATGAGCCTGGGGGAGTGAGGGCTTCTCTGGGGAACGTTGCCATGTTGTCTCCTGGGCAGAAGGAAGCAAACATTCATGAGATAAATACAACAATTGAAGAGGAACGCAAACAATATTGCCTTAAATTATATAGAGAATTGTGATCAAAATTTTTTATAGGACAATTTATTTTATAGAAACTAAATATACTTTTACTATAGAACTTAATATTAGTTGGAATTTATAAAAAAAAAATACTAGAACAAACAGGTCAATTCACGGCAATCCACTTCCAAATAATTGTACAAATTACATGTAAAACAAGTAGTACCTTTCTAGGGATTTACTAGTTTTACTTCATTTATCAAAAAATACCCAGGCAACTTACAGAAAAAAGTTAAATCAGCGAAATTGCCGAACAAAGATAAAATTTTGCATCCTAAAATAAAGTTAAGACTCTATTACACAAAAATGTGCAGCAATGCGTAAAGTATTAAAACTTCCCTATAGGCCAACATTAAAACTTCCCTGGCCCATAGTAATATTCAAGCAGTAGATGTTAAGGTTCTCAGAACATTTCAGTTAGCAGCTATGTAATTTGTTGAGAAGTTAATACGGTTGCGGCAGAATAAAGACGAGTCCTGCCCCGAGTTACTAACACGGTTTATATTGAAGTTGCCGTGTGAACCTTACACTTGATCGCACGCTGGGCCTAAACGCCCTACAGATTCTTAATTAAGCCTAAGAGAAGATACGTAAACTTTGATAAGGTCAAAAACTCGGGATGATTATAGTGGGTTCTATTTCATTATCACGGGACAATAAAGTGATAAAAACTGTGAGATTAAAGAGGGAGTCATCAATATGGCACCTGATGTGCTGGTGAGAGATAGCGCTGCTCTAGCGCAGCCTGTAGAGCAGATAGCGCTGCTCTAGCGCAGCCTGTAGAGCAGATAGCGCTGCCTAGCTGTAGCGCAGATAGCGCTGCTCTAGCGCAGCCTGTAGCGCAGTATAGCGCAGCCTGTAGCGCAGTATAGCGCAGCCTGTAGCGCAGTATAGCGCAGCCTGTAGCGCAGTATAGCGCTGCTCTAGCGCAGTATAGCGCTACTCTAGCGCAGCCTGTATAGCGCATGTACGTAGCGCTGCCCTACAAAATGTGTCGCGTTACCCCTACAGTTCATGAGCTAGCAGATCAAGGTAGAAGATTACTTAAGGAGTCCAAGTTTAACATACGCGTAAGAAATCTGCTGTAAAGAGGACCACAAAATCAGTTTCATGTAAACTGAAAAAATAAAGATAATAATACGAAAAATATTGAACAAAAAACTAAGAAAAATTAAAAACATTTAACTTGAACAAACGAATAAGAAAGCCGGTCCAAGAAAAATCAGGTATAACGCGAGAGAATTTAATAACTCTTATTTAAATACCAAATTATCGTATACTCGAAAAATACTAATCAAATGAACGCAATTAACGTCTCAAGCACAAGCGAGGACAGTTCACCCTGAGAAAGTACAACGTTCGCCCGATAGATCAGTGTGTTTGAGGACTGAGGAGTGTTTTCCATGTGTGAACACCACACGCAACGATATGCTATACACACGGAGATTCTGATAATAGTTTTTCTATCGCCCCCAGAATAGATAAATACAGAAAGTGACAGCATCATCGATAACAAGTGTCAACCGAGCAGCGATAACGTACGTGGTCGTTTCGCGGGTGGCAGACGACACATTTTGGGGCAGATTTGCGCATGCAGATAATCGTAGTTCATACGTAATATGCAAAAATAAACACGTTTCTATGCACGAATGTCCATACCTAACATTATAATAGGCACCCATACACAAGTGCCAACACATAATATACATAAGTGTTCATTTTCATAATTAATATACTTATAGTCTTATATCTTACCCGTAAGTGACTGACGTAACTTCTCGATCCCAAACCACTAGGTACGAATAGCATTGACGACGGTATAAATGTATCCGTGACGAAAGGGTTAATACGCATGAACGTCAATTTATCAAATTCTAAGCGTACATACACGGCTATACGTTCGAGACTTACATTCGTGTCTTTATTTAAACATTCAACTCGATATATTCGGATACATTAATGCGTTTCTATTCCTATACGTAAAAAAAGTTTAAAAGCTGACAATTCAGTCATACAAGTAGATGCAGACTCATACGATTCAACAAAACATTGAAGTTCAGATGAAGAATGAGTTCAGCAGATGATGACTCATGTGAATTAGAGTTTATCGTGAAGTTGCGAGTGGCAATAAATGTTTAATATGAAGCGGATCTTAAGGTACCGCGTATAAGGTCCATGCAGCATGCACATGCAGACTCGCGGACTAATCCTAATCATATACGGGGTCACACAGGCTAGCGCGTTTAGTCTATCACCGGTATCATTAACATCATTATTCAGGGCGTATTCAAATGCATTAATGCCCACGAGTGTATTCGTAGGCAGGAACAAATACGTTGAGTGAAAGAAAGTAATTAAAAGTGTTTTCTTACCATAAGATAATGAAATAGGTATGCAAGAGCAAGGAAGTCGAGAGATACCTAGCTAGGCCTAGTCTCACGACTCAAACCTGACGAGCCGGCGTATTAGGCTATTCCTATTAGGATAATGGCGAAGTTTGAAGCCCCTGGCTGGCCTCATAATTTCACATATATTTTATAAATATGATAAATAGTTTATTATTCTTTTTATTATGATTTCACGCAACGTCGCTCAAAACCTAAACAAATTAAATAGATAAAAAATATTAATAAGTATAAATTTGACATGCAGGTGAAATTGCAGCGGAAAGTTTAAACATTTCTTAGATCTTTCAACATGCACAAAATACGAACGGAAATTTAATTAAAAGCAACTTACTTTTGTCGAGAGCATCACGCACGAACCCGAAGACTTTATGCTTGTAGAGATCGTTGCTAATCACCATATTTCTATGCTGATTTTGACCATTGAATCATAAATTAATGTGATTATATTTTCAATTTTAGATGACTAAATTCGCAAAAGGCTCAGTCTCAGTGGCTAATATATTTATCTTAGTTGCTTTTAGCCAAAGAATCAACAGTGCACAATGATTTAATTTCCTGTATCAACAGTTATTTTTCTCCGTTCACGTTTATTCTAAACATCGTAAATTGGTTGTCGTAAATGGATTGCAGTGCACGCTGCACGGGACTAGAAGATACCAGGCGAGCTGCAAGAAACTTTCACACACGCAACCTAAGGATGCAGTGACTACTGACGCACTCGTCACGAGCTCGTTGCATTATATACTACGGACGTAACAGATGCCAGATACCTCTGGTCTCGATTTTTAATTATCTTGTACATAAAATTAGATATTTTGCATATTGGTTGTGATAATTTTATTCGCTGGGAATTGTGATATAATTTATGATAGTGAAAATTTACGATAATTTAGACTCATAATCCATAAACATTTACGAGAGACAAGCAAGTTGAAGATAATTTCGCTAAATTATTTGCATGAAAAATTCAGTTTCCATTTACAGAAACCGGATATAAGAAATTAAATTGCATTATTAATTATCCACATTTCAAATTGAGTAGAATAATAGAGGGTAGCATATACTGAATATAAATGATAGCTAATACATTGAATTCGCGGGCTATTTCATCTGGCAGTTGATTGCAACCCGATTCTTCTTCCAAGATGGCAAGCGCGGGAGAAGGAAACGAGCAGGATGATGGTTACGTTCTCAACAGAACTACAGGAAAACTGCTAAAAAAAGAAGCAGCCTCTTGATCAAGGCATGTACATTAGCAGCCAGCGGATACAAGGGAAGGTGCAATATCCCCGCGACTTACTTTGCTGAATTTAGCAAGACGGCACGTAAAAACTGTTTAATAAATCGCCTAACATAAAAAAAAGTTTTTACCGCGAAAAAAGAACTTGCGTAAAATTCTATTGAGCAAGAAAGAAAATAGTTTGGACCTGAAATTGAACAGATTGATTTAATTTGAAACATAATCATTGAATTTATCAATTATACAAGAGATTGAACAAATGCAACTAAATTATTCATTGAACATTACTAATCGTGATGCATATATGATGTGATGCCTATATGATGTCATGATGCCTATATGATGTCATGACGCCTATATGATGTCATGATGCCTATATGATGTCGTGATGCCTATATGATGTCTGATCTCCCGACGCCAGCAAGAAATTTGGTTCGACTCATTGAAAAAACGAACAAGAAGATTGTTAATAAAAAGCATGCTCTGGTCTTCAATCAAACTTGCATAAAAAAAAATAAAATAAAATATATATATAAATAAGACAGAAGTTCCTCTACTGAATTTAAATGATCAACCACAAAATAAAATAAATATGTATAAATAAGGCAGCTTAATTAGCCATTAAAATTTTCTCAACTAAATTTAAATAATATGCGTTTAAAAATTACTTTTTAAAGACAACACTTCTAATGAATCCAGCGTCTCTGATGTTACACATGTACAATGAATTTTTAATTTTATTATCAAATATTAAAAAAATTAATTTTTACATTTTATCTATAAAATAAAAAATAAAAAAAATGTTCAAAATTATTTATTCCGTCAATTGATTCATATATTGTCTCCAACTTTACGCAAGTGTGCGAAATTTCAGATCGATTGGAAAGGTAGAAGTGTGTTAAATATTGATTATAAGATTTGTAGAAGACAAACAAACAAGAAGTGGAGTTAAAGAGAAGTGTTGTAAAAATCGCTCACAAAATAAAGTATATATAAATAAGGCGGTTTAGCCATTAAAAGTTTGTATACTAAATTTAATTGATCGCCTACAAAATAAAATATATACATATAAGGCAGCTTAGCCAATAAAAGTTCCTCTTCTAAATATAAATGATCGCCTACAAATATAATATATAAATAAGGTATCTTATTTATATAATATAATATGAATATAATATATAAATAAGGTATCTTAGCCATTAAAAGTTCATCTACTAAATTTAAATGATCGCCTATAGATACAATATATAAATAAGGTATCTTAGCATGCACGAGCACGTGTATCCAGGATACGACGATGACGTCACGCTCGCGACGTCACAAAGCAGCGCGCGCCCCACGAGGCCCCGACGTGTGGGGATGCCCAGCAATTATGCCCAGGGTCTGGGGACATTGATCCCGGAGTTAAGAAGTCATTGCTTATTATGCATAAGCCATTATTGTGTGGTTGAACTTATTAATTGCCACAACTTTGGACTATAGAAAGAGTTTTGAAGTCAACATCTATAGCTGGAGCGCTGATTTGGGCTATTGAAAGGCGAAAAAAAATATACGATCAGTACTCACTGCAGTGAGTGACAGAGAGCGCATTTTCTCGTCGACGAAAACGTGAAGTCACGAAAGTCATCACGTGAAGTCATCATGGTCAGTGATGGGTTAAATGGGTCAGTGATGAGTTAAATGGGTCAGTGATGAGTTAAATGGGTCAGTGATGGGGTAAATGAGTGGTTGCAGAAGCTTCACTCAGCGTCTGAACGCAGCCAGCCAAGTTCTGCGTAAATGCGAGGCGCTACGCAGAGGTCACTAGAACACCGGAAGGATCAGGGATCGGAAGGAGATCCTCTAGCGGAGATCCTTGATAGGCTCCGGGATTACCGTGACTATCACTAGCAATAAAGCGAAGTCGGATCGCTGGTTACGTTCATATAGGATCCGCAGTAACGATGAGGCCGTAATTTAGTCGACCATATCGTCGAATAATTTATTAATAATTTCATTTATTTCATAATTTATTCGACCCGTGCGAGAATGCCATGGTAAAGCAGAGACGTGTTTGTAGGTGGAAAATGTCATGGTAAACAATGATTTATGAGGTTTGTAAAGCTTCTTTCGTGATCCTCGAACTGGTTTAATGGTTTACCTTATAGTATCAACGGTCACCGTATATCATAGGTCATTTTTATGGCTACTGATTTACGTTAACCGTGTAGGTTTGTATTGCTTCTTTCGTGGTCCTTGAACCGGCTTAATGGTTTGAGTCAACCGTGTATAGTATATACTACCGTCACCGTATATCATAGGTCAGCATGCATGGTATGGTTGCCGTATTGCATTTACGGCCATTGTACAGGACTTACGACCAACGTATAACATTTATGGTCACCGTATAATAAACAACTATGGCAATCGCATGACATTTATGGTCACAGGACAGGATTTAAGGTCTTGTGAAACATTTATAGACATAGAATATCATTTATGGTCATCGTATAGGAATTAAAGTGGCCGCGTACAACATTTGAAGGCAGATAATATCACTATTGGTCATCATGCATAAGATTTAAGGTTAGTGTGAAGTGATCTCGCACCACACTATGCACGAAGATGGGTCGGAACATCACACTTATAAACGGCGCCGGATTTAAGGCTGGATGTTCATATACCACGTGACGACAGGATGCGCGAATATAGCGTGCATCATCGAGTGAATCAGATGAATGAACACTAAAATAGATGCACACGTATTACACACAGACACACACACACATTCACACATGCACTTGTATAATATCATCCGAATATCATCTGGAATATAAGTATGACTAATACACAATTAGTCATTAGAATTACTTCGCAATTAACGGAAACTTGCAAGCAAGATGTCTAAACTGCAATAAGTTTAAAATGGTCTATTCTCAGCCCTCCGTTTCGAGCAACATCACGAAATTATTAATTGTATAATAAACGAAATGAAAAATCCTCTCAAAATTACAAATACGTTAAGCAAAAAACTTACCTTTAAATTTTTTGTTTCCTTTTGGTACGCCCTCTTCCAACATGGACTCTACGTCACCGAAAGTTTCTTCTTCCTCTTCTTTTTTGAACTTCATTGAAGAATCTTTGAGCTTCATTGAAGAATCTTTGAGCTTCATTGAATTAGAGTCGTTCTTAAGAACCTGAGCAGTTGTATGGATGCAGGTTCTGTTGTTCTTCGCAGCTCGCCGTTTTCTATGCGCATCAGAAAACTTTCGATGGGTAACCGAAATAGAAACTTCTCTGCTCCGGACATCCGCTTTCTTCGATCCTGATTTTGTAACGTTCCCCACGATTTTTTTCTGTAGACCAGGTTTTTTTGGGGAAGATCTAGGAATGGAATTCTTGAGGTTCCCACGCAGGGTAGAGGTTTTTTTACCACTCGATGTAAATTTCTTGATTTTATCATGCGGAGTGGTGGCAAAATTGATATTTTTCGAGCGTAGTCGCGAGCTGCGAGGCTTCAGCTGCCGGGACACCTGCGCGATCACAGATACATCGCTTAATGACCTGGTAATTACCATGGGGAGCCACGCCATATCAGAGACAATCAATATTATCTCTACCGAGGAACCAATAGTTCTGCTATTGGTCGATATAACTATCATGAATAAACCAATATAAACTCAAATAACCGATCAATGTCAGCTGAAACAACCAAACTATATTTTTATAATTATTAAATTTATCCTCGCTCATGTATAAACCAATATAAACTCAAATAACCGATTAATGTCAGCTGAAACAACCCACACTATATTTTTATAATCATTAAATTTATCTTTACATCGCTTATTTTTCAAGGTTTTGTTATCACAAATTGCTACATGAAATTGATCACGAAACAAAAATTATTTGCACGTTTACTTACTGATAATTTTCTCTCGATTAAAAGTAATACAAATAAATTCGCTATTTATTTGTTTCTATAGGGATAAAATTTTTTAAAGAATTGAAAACATCGAGTTGATGTCACCAACATCAACATCGTCACGCTAAACATCACCACACGTCACACTAAACATTACCACACGTCATGCTAAACGTACATCACCACGCGTCAAGCTAAACAACACCACACGTCATGCTAAACATCACCACACGTCATGCTAAACATCACCACATGTCACGCTAAACATCACCACGCGTCAGGCTAAACATCACCACACGTCATACCACACGTCATGCTAAACATCACCACACGTCATGCTAAACATCACCACACGTCACGCTAAACATCACCACACGTCATGCTAAACATTACCACACCACGCTAGACGAGCGTCGTGTCACATGATGCAATAGAAGAAAATTAAGCTTGTAAACATGAGAATGCACGTAAATGCTCATAGATGCACGTAGATGCACGTAGATGCACGTAAATGCAGATAAATTCACGTAGATTGATGCACGTAAATTAACTAAAATGCATTTAAATGCAAGTCCTGCCTAGTGAATGCCTGCATGGCCGTTTGAATGCAGCGTACAGACAAGTAATGGCTGTAGATGCACTGGGGTGTGAATGCATTCAAATCTAAATGCACAATTAGGTGCATGCACGTAAATATCGGTGCACTGAGATTCAAGTACCATTGAATTTATATGCAAATATAATCATTCATGAAAAAAATGTCGAGTCTGCATCATAGCCCGCATTTCGTTTTAACATGTCATGACAAGCACATTTGTTCATACGAATATATTTTAATGAAAATGCGCAGAAATAACTCACCTTTACGTCGGATCACTAACATTTTCTTCATTTTCAAACGTATGTAAAATGATGTAAAATTCCCTTCATCGCCGATAATATCATATTGCTTTAGTAAAAAAGAAATGTCGTACTAATATTTTATGTGGTAAATTCAAATTATTTTCGAATGCAAACGAGTGGATTTAAAGTATTCAATTTCATTTTGATTCCTTGGAAAATTTTATTGAATCTGTGTAGTATGGAGTAAAATATTCAAATTAGAATTCATTACAACACTTCTCTTTAACTTCACTTCTTGTTTGTTTGTTTGTTTGTCTGTCTGTCTGTCTCTCTGCTACAAATCTTGTAATCGAAATTTAACACACTTCTACTTATCCTATCGATCTGAAATTTTGCACACTCGTGTAAAGTTGGAGACAATGCATGAATCAAATGTCAAAATAAATGATTTTAAAATTAAAAATTTTTTTTTCAATATTAAAAAAATTGAAAAAATAATTTTGTCAGCTGCAAATCTTATAACTGATATTTGACACACTTTTACCTGTCTAATTGATCTGAAATTTTGCACACATGTGCAAAGTCAGAAGCAATGCATGAATCAATTAATAGAATAAATAATTTTGGAAAAATTTATATATTAAAAAATTATATATTAAAAAATTGAAAAATTAATTTTTTTTATATTCAAAAATTAAATGAGAAATTCATTGTACATCTGTAAGATTGGAGACACTGGATTCTTTTGAAGTGTTGTCTTTAAAAAGTAATTTTTAAACGTATATTATTTTTAAAGTGCTTCTTAACTGCTGGTTTATCGAGAGTTATATTATTATCACATGGCGTTGTTGCATTTGCTGTTCTCAATATAAAATTTGATGATTTTTGCTGCCTGTTGATTTTGCTTCTCTGTTGTTTCATCATGAACAACTCACATCAACAATTGAGTGTCAGAAGTTTATGGACCTGAGCTCCACAATATATTTATCTCAAGATGGAAGGGATATGAAACATAGAGAAAACTTGGAGAAATTTTCTAATTTTTTAACAAACTAAAAGAATTTTAAAGAAGATATGATGTATATTAAGAACTGGAATTTAAGGGCAGGTGAAAAGATACAAATTTCTATTGTGTAGGTGCCAAAGTTATAATTAATATTGATATTTTGGTAGCATAGTTTGCCAAAAAAGTGCAACTTACATACAATGATTGAACACATTTTAATTTATAACAACTAGCATATAGTCCTAATGGTTAGTGTTACCAAAATCCAATCAAGACAAATATTCGATAACGAAATGCTACCGTCGGAGCCGCACAGTATTTTTGTGCAAAAATGTTATAGATTATAAATTGAAAAATATTAAAGTGAGATGCAGAGAGAAAAATATTTATTTTACTGAATTATTTCCAGTGTCGCAATAACACGACGGACGCAGAGCGAGGGCAGCGAGCACGGATCTCGAGAGGCACACATCCAACCTCCACGGCGCCGCGCGCCAGACTGAGAGCTGCGAGGGCTGAGGGCACGACTGTGAGAGCAGCGCTACTGCTACACNATTGTTGTTATTGCTGCTGTGCATAATACTGTTGCTGCTGTTATTGTTGTTATTGCTGCTGTGCATAATACTGTTGCTGCTGTTATTGTTGTTATTGCTGCTGTGCATAATACTGTTGCTGCTGTTATTGTTGTTATTGCTGCTGTGCATAATACTGTTGCTGCTGTTATTGTTGTTATTGCTGCTGTGCATAATACTGTTGCTGCTGTTATTGTTGTTATTGCTGCTGTGCATAATACTGTTGCTGCTGTTATTGTTGTTATTGCTGCTGTGCATAATACTGTTGCTGCTGTTATTGTTGTTATTGCTGCTGTGCATAATACTGTTGCTGCTGTTATTGTTGTTATTGCTGCTGTGCATAATACTGTTGCTGCTGTTATTGTTGTTATTGCTGCTGTGCATAATACTGTTGCTGCTGTTATTGTTGTTATTGCTGCTGTGCATAATACTGTTGCTGCTGTTATTGTTGTTATTGCTGCTGTGCATAATACTGTTGCTGCTGTTATTGTTGTTATTGCTGCTGTGCATAATACTGTTGCTGCTGTTATTGTTGTTATTGCTGCTGTGCATAATACTGTTGCTGCTGTTATTGTTGTTATTGCTGCTGTGCATAATACTGTTGCTGCTGTTATTGTTGTTATTGCTGCTGTGCATAATACTGTTGCTGCTGTTATTGTTGTTATTGCTGCTGTGCATAATACTGTTGCTGCTGTTATTGTTGTTATTGCTGCTGTGCATAATACTGTTGCTGCTGTTATTGTTGTTATTGCTGCTGTGCATAATACTGTTGCTGCTGTTATTGTTGTTATTGCTGCTGTGCATAATACTGTTGCTGCTGTTATTGTTGTTATTGCTGCTGTGCATAATACTGTTGCTGCTGTTATTGTTGTTATTGCTGCTGTGCATAATACTGTTGCTGCTGTTATTGTTGTTATTGCTGCTGTGCATAATACTGTTGCTGCTGTTATTGTTGTTATTGCTGCTGTGCATAATACTGTTGCTGCTGTTATTGTTGTTATTGCTGCTGTGCATAATACTGTTGCTGCTGTTATTGTTGTTATTGCTGCTGTGCATAATACTGTTGTTGCTGTTATTCTTATCGTTGCTGCCGTTAAACTGTTGTTCTTGCATCTGCTTTATTTGTTATTGCGTAAATTATTGTTTTTGTTCCTATTGGTTTGGCTTTAACTATTGTTAGTGATTTTTTTATTGCTATTCAATAAACTATTGCTGCTTATTTTATTGATGCAGCAGCTTAAATTGATGTTGCAGGAGCAGCAGCTTTTGTTTCTTTTACGTGTTAAGAAACAAATTATTAGTATTATAAATATTGCAGCAGATGTTATTGCTCTAGCCGTTACCGCTGCTGTTGTTATTGTGCAGCTGTTATTGTGTGCGAGTGTAATTGTATGGATGTATATTTGCATGGTAAGATGTGTGTTGTGTGAGGATGTGTGTTGTGTGTTGATGTGTGTTGTGTGTTGATGTGTGTTGTGTGTTGATGTGTGTTGTGTGTTGATGTGTGTTGTGTGTTGATGTGTGTTGTGTGTTGATGTGTGTTGTGTGTTGATGTGTGTTGTGTTGATGTGTGTTGTGTGTTGTGTGTTGATGTGTGTTGTGTCAATGTGTGTTGTGTGTTGATGTGTGTGTTGTGTGTTGTGTTGATGTGTGTTGTGTTGATGTGTGTTGTGTGTTGTGTGTTGATGTGTGTTGTGTTGATGTGTGTTGTGTGTTGATGTGTGTGTTGTGTGTTGTGTGTGTGGATGTGTGTTGTGTTGATGTGTGTTGTGTTGATGTGTGTTGTGTGTTGATGTGTGTGTTGTGTGTTGATTTGTGTTGTGTTGATGTGTGTTGTGTGTTGATGTGTGGATGTATGAATGTGTGTTGTGTGGATGTATGTTGTGTGTTGTATGTTTATGTATGCATGTGTGTTGTGTGGATGTGTGTTGTGTGTTGATATGTGTGTTGTGTGTGGATGTATGGATGTGTGTTGTGTGTGGATGTATGGATGTGTGTTGTGTGGATGCGTATTGTGTGTATATGTGTTGTGTGTGAATGTATGGATGTGTGTTGTGTGGATGTGTGTTGTGTGGATGTGTGTTGTGTGGATGTGTGTTGTGTGGATGTGTGTTGTGTGGATGTGTGTTGTGTGGATGTGTGACTGCAGCACCAGAGATGTGGCTGAGGCAACCAGATGAGTTGGGT